AAATACATGAAACAAAAACGCTCCGTTTAATGAATCATAACAGCGAGTGTCCATGGACCGTGCCTGGTGCCCTGGGAGGGTCACAGTGCCTGACTATAATCAGGTGGCCCCCCCAAAGATTGAACACCTTGAATCTAGCCTTTATGTGCTTAGATTTAGGGGACTCTGGGACCAGTGAAAGGGGTGGGGCACAACCGCTTCAAAACATAGAAATGTCCCCTCAGTGCCACCACTGGCTTGCTTGGTGAGTTGAAGGAACAGAAAACACCCCGTTTCCCCTTTCTGGGAGGGGGTTTCTGGACTGGCCTCCCCAGGCACGTCTCGCTTGGGGGCAGGAACTGTCGCCAGTGGATGTCAAGGAGAAAATGTGCCTTCCCTGCAGCTCAGCTAAAAATAAACCCAGGCAGCACTGCCGTGGAGTTGCAGGAAGGAGAGTAGGGTATTTTGCTTTAAATGTAGAAGCAACTCAGCAGTTGGGGGGTGGGGAGAGTGAAGGAAGGGTGTGAGGGGGGCGCGGGGGCTCTGTACTCACCCCACCTCCAGCTGCAACTGCTTCAGTCAGGGGTGCTGGCACTGGGAGGCAGGGTGTGTGTGGCGGGGGGTGGGGAGGTGGCAGGGGGGAGTGACAGGACCTCAGAGCAGAAAGCTAGGGAAGACTGGGGACCAGTGGGGAGGGGTCTCTGTCCTGCTGAGTGGAGCATGCAGGCTGGAGGGGCCAGAGTCACGTACTCCACGGGGTTCACACATCCTCGGAGAAGCCCTCTGTCACTGCAGCCCTCGCCAGGCCCCCTTCCGAGGCCCCTGCCCTCCCGCAGCTCGCCCTGCCAGTCCCTGGGGGCGCCTGGCACACAGCGCCAGAGATTGTCACTTCAGTGTCCCCTCTGTCTAGCTTCCGCTCTGCCCCAAAGAGATGGGGAGGTCCTCAAGAGTGGGTGTGGTCCAGCGGTGAGGAATTTCCCTGGAAACGGGAAGTACAAGATGTGTCAATGTGGGATCCCAGCTCCAGGAGCGAGAGGCTGAGCAAAGGAAGAGGGAGAGGCCCTCCTAGGTGCCTTCTCCCTCCCAGCCAGGCTCAGTCCCTGGGATCTGGGCGCTCCCAGAGTTCTCTGGGTGGGAATGTCTTAGGCCCCCAATGAGAAAACAGACAGACTCCTGAAGGGCCAGGCCCTGTGGCAGCTCGGTCTTCCATGCCCCACCCCATGTGGACCCCGACATGGGTGACCTCACGGAATCTTCCCAGCAACCCCGGGATGGGGGTTGTGACTTCCCTATTCAGAGCTGGAGAAACTGAGGTTGATGTTGGAGAAGTATTTGCCTAGTACCTGACATGGGCAGTAGGGGACAGAAAGAGTGCTCCAGGTCATGATTTGGGACACACACAGAAGTCCAGGATGCCTGTGGGGGTGAGGACGGTGAGCTGGAGACAGCACTGTGGAAACGGAACTTGGCTGAGATCACATGGAACATATGGCTGCTATGCTTAGTGCGCTGGGCAGGAAAAAGGAGTTGCTTTAAAGCCAAACCCTGCCCTGCCCAAGTTGTGATCTTGACTGGGGAACTGAACCCATGCGGAGCCTCTGAGTTTCCACATCTGCGAAATGGGTATAATAACCTTTACATTGGATTGCTGGGGAGTAATGGATTTACATACTGGTTGTTTTTATTTTTCCCAAGCTAGAAAAAGCACCAGACTCCTTCCTGCAGCCTCAGGGTCTTTGCATGGGCTATTTCCTGTGCCTGGAACCCTCAGCCCCTGTGCCCCTCCCCCCAGAGTCACATGACTGGCAGCTTCTTGTCACCCAGATCTCCTCTCAAAAGTAGCCATCCTCAGGGCCTTCCCAGGCTGCCCAACCCACTCTGCCACTCTCTGATTCTACTCCTTAGCAATTAGCATGATTTGGAATGACAGATCTTGTTAATTTGTTCGTTGTTGTTGTTTGTTTGCTTGGCAGCTATTCCTAACCCCAACTGCCAAGAATATATGTTTCCCGAGAGCTGGGAAGTCAGTGGGGTTCAGTGCCCCAACCCCAGTGCTCAAAACAGCACTTGGTAAACATTGGGGTTTGCTAAACATTTATGAAAGAATAAATGACCATGCTTAGAAAACAGCATTCTGTCTAAGTGTCTGACTCTCCCACAGGCCCTGTGAAGGCCAAAGACAGTCACTGTGGGTTGGTGGGGGCTCAAGAGAACCCTTTGGCCCGAGCCTGGGCTCAGCCCAGCCCCACTGTTCCCAGGCTACAAAGAGCTATGGGGCTGCCTGGGCTTCCGACTGCTCCAGGATAAAGGTCAACCCCTTTGCAGGAACATGAGGTTCTGTACCATCTGGGCCTGCCTGCCTGCTTCTGGCCTCATCTCCCCAGGCTCCCCAACCTGCACTCCACATCCAGCCAGACCAAACAACTCCAAGTGCCTGCCGGGGAACATGGGGCCACTTTATGCCTGTGTGCCTTTAGACACACTGTTCCTTCCACCTGGAACATGCTGCACCCATGGCTCTGCCTGACTAGCTCCTCACAGAGTAAAGACTCGCCTTTAGGGCCCTCCCTGACCTCTCTGCCCTGGCCACACCCAGCCCCCAACTTTCCAGAGCACCTATGGGTCCCAAGCCAATGTTCGTCCACATGCATTTTTCCCGAGCGGTTCAAGAATCGTGAGGGCAGCAACCAGCTTCGGGGCTTTGTGTCCCCAGATGGAAGCACGGTGCAGGGTACACACTGTCAAAACAGCCAACCCAGCTGATGTGGAGTGAGTGCCAACTCAGGTGGTAGAGCCGTGTGTCCCCGAGGGGTCTCGAGGCTGTGATCCTTCAGAAGGCGCCAACGGGTGGGCTCGCCAACCTTTGGCTTACTACTCAACGGCGCCACTGTTTGTACCACCCAGGCACCCAGTCGGGGCTCACGAAATGCACGCGGCAGGCATGAACCTGAGCAGGCTGAGACGGGTTGGCTCAGGTGAGGAGAAGAGTAGGGGTCCCGGGCAGGCATGGAAAACGCTGCCGGGGAAACAAGGTGGTCGCAGAGGGAAGAAGGCAGAGGAGACCTTGGGTCGTGTCCCGGGACACTGGAAAGACACAAAGCCAACCAAAGAGGGCAAACACAGACGATGGAGGCCCACAAGCAGGGCTCTGGGAGAGCAAGGGGAACAGAGCAGGGAGGATAGAAAGAGGAAGAACAAAGTACCCAGCTCAGAGGGGACAGAATGTACTCATGACAGCTGCGGAGGACAGGAAGCCAGAGATGAGGACAGGCCACTAAATACAGGATGCCTGGTGCCCTTGCTTCATCCGCCGCGGGTAGATAGAGGCAGTGTGGTGCTGGGGACCTGCCTCAGGAGACAGGCTTGGGTGAAAGATACCCCCCCACCCACCAGGTTTCAGGAAAGTCTTTCTCGCGTGAGTGAGGCGAGGCCCATTTGCAACGATGCACTTCAGGTACAGCCTCACTTCTTGCCCGTGAACCAGCAACATAAGCCCTCTTGCCCAGTTTTCTCATCAGGGAAATGGGTGTGACTCCCCTTACTTTAACTCTCCCCACCTAAAACCATGGCTGTTGAGTTAACGCTGACACAATGCGCCCCCAGGTGTGTCCGAGCAGGACTGAGCTCCAGGTTTTCCATGGCTTTGACCTGTAGGAGGTACCTCCCCGGCTGTTCTGAGGCTCGCTGCCATTGAATCGATGTGGACTCATAGCGTTCCTGGCAGGTTTCACAGAGGATAACCATTGATGGGGGTAGAAAGCCCATTCTTTCTCCTGTGGAGCTGCTAGTGGTTTCGAACTGCTTGACCATGTGGCTCGCAGACCGATGCTTTAACCCCTACAACACCAGGGCTCCTCCTGAGGCACTTCTGGTAGGATTTAAACCACCAGACCTTTTAGTTAGGAGCCCACCCCTCCCCATTGCTTTATAACCCACACAGAAAATAAGAAACAAACTCACCACCCTTGAGCCCCTTCCTACAGAGCAGCGGTTCTCAACCGGTGGGTGGAGACCCCTTTGGTGGGGTCCAACGACCTTTTCACAGGGGTCACCCGATTCATAACAGTAGCAAAATGACAGTGGTGAAGTAGCAATGAAAATAATGTTATGGTTGGGGGGGTCACCACCACATGAGGAATTGTATGAGCGGGTCGCAGCATTAGGAAGGTTGAGAACCACTGCTATAGAGGGTTTGGGAGGCTGTCATTCTTACATGAACAGACAGCCTCATCTTTCTCCCTCAGAGTGGCTGGTGGGTTTGAACCACTCACCTGTGGTGAGCTTTCCAACCTCTGACCCCCAGAATCACCAGGGACCCCTCCCTCACTTTATAGGAACATCAAAAATTAGACTTGAGTCAGACCGCGTGCAGGAAATGTACACAGCCTGGTGCAAATGCCAAGGCTTGGCATAACTGTGCCGACTTCCACCCCCCAACCACCCCCACCCCAGCCGTATGTGGGGGAGCCCTGGTAGCCCAGTGGCTAGGAATTGGGCTGCGACCCGCTAGGTCTGCAGTTCAAAATCACCAGCTGCTCCATGGGGGAAAGACGGGCCTCTCTACTCCAGTAAAGAGCTACAGTCTCAGAAACTCACAGGGGAAGTTCTACCCTGTGCTATAAGGTTGCTATGAGTTGACATTGACTCAATGGCAGTGAGTGTTTTGGGGTTTGGGCCCTATGTGATTGGGTCCCAGGAGAGGCCATGTTGTCATTGAGTGCCATAGATAGACCCAAGTTCAGAGCCCCGGAACCCAGACTCACCCTGGGAGCCCTGGTTTTTCAAGCCCAGAGGCAGATCAATATAAGGCAAAGTTTATTTCGGGGTGAGGGGGTGAGGGACAGGAGCCAGGTACAGACTTCCCACAGTGAGGCCTGCTTGATGTTTCCCCCAGGACCTTGCTGGCCTCTGGATTCCAGCCTGCCAAATGGGCTGAAAGCGGTTTTCTGGTTTTCAGACACATCTGACAGTGTGCCTGGGAGCCAAGGACACGGAGTTCCTGGGATTATACAGAAGGAAAAGGGCACAGGCCTTGGTGGCTTAAGGATTTATGGGGTAGGGTCCCGGTCAAAGCTACTTAGCAAAAAAAAAAAAAAAAGCTACTTAGCAGAGCATTCCGGAGGGCTAGTTTTGATCTCGGATAGACCTGAGTGTGAATCCCAGTCCCGTCATTTATCTGTGCCTCGGTTTCCTTAACAGCCCAAGGGAGGTGGGGCTATCAATACCTCCTGAGCCCCCACTCATAGTAGTTCTGAAAACTATATGAGTGTGGGATCCAGCCCACATCCAGATGGGTTCTAAGGGACAGTTGTGTAATTAAAGGGAAGAAATAAAGAGACAGACAAAAGTTTTGGGGTGCTCATCTCTGCCATGGCATCAGGAACCAGGTCAGGGAAAGAGAGAATGAAATCTTTTATCAATGTATATAGTCTTGGGGGCATGCAAGCCCCCTTAATTACAGGTAACCACAAACATAACAAAGTAGGCTGTCCCCTAACCCTACAGGTCCCAGAGTTCATTGAAAGGGTAACCTAACACCAGCACTGGGGCAGGTAAGGGGCATGACTGTCCCCTGAGCAGGGAGAGCAATAGCAACATGTTTGCTACTATAGATAAAGCTGTGGGCCAGATAGCAATCAGCCATCTACTTATAAGAGGGAACTTTAAGGTAGCACTATATGAAAAGACATTGTGGGGACTGATCTTATTTATGAGAATGTGATGGGGCGTCCTTCCACCCAGAACCCTGCCCCCCAACCCCAGGCTTATTAAATATGAGAATAAAGAATTTGTCCACATACCCTCTCTTTCCATTGCTCAGTTTCCCACATATGAGTTCCTGTACACAAAGCTCTGAGCCCAGAGTTTAGCCTGTAACAAGCAATCAACCCATATCAGTCATTATTGTAAAGGATAATATCACATGCTCTTGGGGGAGGCGAGCCAAAAGATAAATGTCTATGTCTGCATTATCTAAGCCACCTTTCGCAGATTAAATTGCTCACAATTTAGAAAAATCTTTAAGAAGTCACCGTGTCAACATCTGTCTTGGAGCTCTTAGTATAAATGTGTGTCTCCATTGGGGAGGGTCATTAATACTCACAGCCATCGAGTGGGTGCTAGCTCATAGTTACCTTATAAGACAGGGTAGAACTGCCCCATCTGGACTTCTGGGACTGTAACTCATTATGGGAGTAGAAAGCCAAGTCTTTCTCCTACCGAGGAGCTGGTGGTTTTGAACTGCTGACCTTGCAGTTAGCAACCCAACGCATAACCCCTAGCCCACCAGGGCTCCTTAATGGGAGGATCATTAAGCATCAGTTCTGCCAAGCTTTGGGGTGGGGGGCGGCAACTTTAATAGAGTCTTCAACTCACTTGTCAAGCTGGGCTCAAGACTACTGCAGAAGTGCTTGGGAAAATGAGGCTAATGAAATCAGGGGGTGGGGTGGGAGTCCTAAAAAGTCCAGAGAACCTTAAGGTCCAGCTTAGATAGATGAACAGAGGGGCCACTTCCGGCTGGGTTCTGGGAGAGAGAAAATGAGCTGGGCCTTCACCCTGCTGGAGTCCAACTTTCCCTCTCCCTGGAGAGGTTAGAACTCAGTCATTGTGGGGGCAGGACATTTGCCTCTTGACCTGTGTGTGTGAGTGTGTGTGTGTGTTGGTGGGGTGGTTCCAGGTGGGAGGCTGGCAGATCAGAGCAGGGGTGACTGACAGCAGGATGCAGAGCTGAAGAAGGAAGTATAAATATAAAGCCGCCAGTGTAAGACTGGACAGAGGCCATATGAAACACACGGTACATTCTGGCCCTAGCGTAACAAACTGTACCAGGCTTTTGGAAAGCTGGGAGCACTGAGGAGGTGAGGGAAGACAGCAAAGGTTCCTGGGAGATTGGCCCTGCCTCCTCCTCCCCCACTTCTCCCACAGCTCAGACACCACAGGGAAAGTCCCGATGTTCCTTTTGTAACCACAGGAAACCTACCATCCCTGCTTATACTATACCCAGCTTTCCTTTCAGGAGCTCCAGACTGGGAAGGTGCAATGAGTGTGTGTGTGTGTGTGTGTGTGTGTGTGTGTGTGTGTGTGTGTGTGCGCGCGCACATGCACACGTGGAGCGGAGGCGGCATGGGGTAAGGGCAGCCACAGCGGCCCAGGCAACCTCCGGGAGGTGGGAGCCTCATGGGCCTCTGATTTAAGATTACAGTACATAAGGGCTGCAAGGGAGGCACAGATGACGGTGAGGTACGAGGAAGGAAGTCCCTTGTCCAAGGTCACTAGCTGTTCACCAGGGTGGGACCAGCCATCTATCCAGAGTTGGGCAGTGCTGGGCAGCTCTCTTGGGTGTAGTGTGTGGGAGTGGCAGGCCAGGGAACAGGCAGTGCCCGAGGACTGAGGGTGCGGAGCCCAACTCCCACATTGTCTCTATGTGGTCTGGTTGGTCCTGGGCAGATCTGGCTTGGCCATTGATCCCTCCACGCTTCTCACACCTAACCACCACCCCCACCCCACCCCCACCCCCGCAACTTTTAATAATACTGATAACACACACGTAGCATGGAAACTGCTTTGTGATTATGTCAACCCAAGTGAGTCACTTCCACTCCTCCCTTCTCCCCCACAGTTCAAGGGCTAGAACCTTCTAGGATCTACCTCCCAGGCTCCCCAACTTCTTCCTTCCACGACCCTGTAACTGTGACGCTCACTAGGTCCTCACCACCTGGCCGCTTGGGTTATTATTTAACCTCACACCTTGCGTGTCTGTCTCTTTAAGCAGCCTGCAGACTCCCCAACGGCAGGGGAGACATTTCCATATGCCCCAGTTCCAGGGACTGCCACTCCAAAGATGATGATGATGATGATGGTGATGTGTGGAGTAGAAGCTGGAGAGGTGGGAGGAGGCCTCCCGGATGAAGCCGACTTTGTTTCGGCCTCAAGGACGTTCTAATCTGGTTAGAAGAACAGGATTAGTAAACAGATCCCTAGAATAGGTGCCAGGCCACACGGTGTACCGTGAGAAAGGTACAAATTGCCTGTGCTGGGCGCTCAGCGAGGGAATCAGATTTGGCTGTTGTTGTTCAGAGGCTTTAAGAGGCCGGGCTTGAGGATGGGGAGACTCCCCAGGGAAGCAAGAGGGAGAATAACGGGCCTCGGCGCCTGTGTCTGCCACTTTTGTAACAAACACATCCTTAGCAGAATCCATCGCAGAGCCTTCCACATAGCGGGTGCTCGGGATCAAAAACCATGATTCTTTCTCTCCTGGGTTTGGGAGTGGAACCTTCCCGATCACCACTAGGCGCCGTCTGGCCCTAGGGAAGGATGGCGACCGGGCAAAATGTGCTTCGGCCTGAACCAAAGCTTGGGCAGGACCAAGAGAGGGGTCAGACTCCAGGGGCAGTCTGCAGTCATTTTCCTCCACCCGGCCTCACATTCTCACCCGCTCGTGTCTGGAAGCTTCTTATTCTTGGCGTCAGGCCAGGGGGTTCCCAAACCGCCCAAAAGGGCTGGGCTTGGTTGGCCAGTCCCTGGGAATCCCTGGAGTCTCCACGAGCTAGGCTTCTGTGAATGAAAGACCAGGAAAGGGGGCTGGGGAGGGGCGCACGGGAAGGGGAGGATCCTTGTGGGTGGGTGGGGGGAGCTTGAATTGGCCCCTTCACTGAGGCTTCCGTTGTCACGTGGTTATATCCCAGGTCTCACCAGCCTATGGTTGGCGCAGTCCCGGCTAGTCTACCTCAGACTCCCTGAGCAGAGTGTTAGGGGCCCCTCCTCCCCACTTAAGGCCACCAGCACCTGCCCCCTCCCCCTCTGCGCTTAATCCAGGTCCCATCTGTGCCTGGGGCCCCAGAGCAAGGGCCCGATGAGGGGTGGCTAGGCCTAGGAACTCAAGGCTGGTGACCTGGTAGCGGGGGTGGCGGATGGGGGGAGGTCCCACTGGCTCGCGCCTTCCCTGGGCTGGGCGCCTCGCTCCCGCCCCAGCCCTCAGCCGCGCAGTGCTGCTGCGGCGGGGAAGCTGCGCGCCGAGCGCAAGCCGCGAGCACAAACAGGGCGAGGAGGCTGGTGTGAGCGCCTGGGCCCCGTGCCAGCGCGCTGGGGCTGGAACACAATGTCCCGGGCGAGCGAGCGGGGAGCGAGAACAGCCTGACTCAGCAGCTGGGGAAGTGGGTGTGCTAGCTCACCAGATCAACCGCTTTCGCAGCCTGCGGTCAGCGACGGCCCAACACTCGGTGGCTCCCTGGAGCGCAGGGGGAGCGCACGGCCCCGCCTCGGCTCCCGCTCCAGGACCTCCACGTGGCCCGTTGGCACATCCCTCTGCCTTCTGGCCCCGCCGTGACGATGTCTTGCAGCCCCCTAGCCTGAGCAAAGCAGACTCAACCCACCTGGGAGAGATACCGCCCCCCACAGATGTGGCTGAGCCAACGCTGTTTTACACACACATCTGCCCCCAGCACCACCACCCCACCCCCGCGCGCACCACCCCCACCCCGCCCAAGCCTCACCACTCTGGGACGCCTCTAGTGGTCGTGTTGTGGAGGATGTACCAAAGGTTCAGACAAAGGAGGTTTGTTCTAGGTTAGTTGTGTGTAGGGGCAGGGGGGAGTTAACGAAGAGCGCCTGGGAGAAATGGGATATAGGGTGCTATCTCCCCCATCTCTGTCCTCAGCTGACCCACCCAGAGTTCAAAGTCTCTTCCTGTCCCCTCCCCTCAAAACCACTAGGGCCCCTGAAGATTTCCTCTGTGGGAGGGAGCAGCAGGTGGGGAGGTTCCTTGAAGCCTGAGACCCTGTTTCTTTGCCTTACTCACCCGCCCACCCAAAGCCACAGCAAAGACCCGAGAATCCTGCCCCCAAGCCACAAAGCTCCTGGTTCTGCTGTGCCTGCTGGGGCCTGTGGCCTGCTGGGGCCACTGTGAGCATGGCAGCTCTAGGGGCAAGGATCTTAGACTGCCGCCGAGGGTGGCACTCTTCCTGGCAGGCAGGGGCCTGTCCCATGCCCCAGCCTCCTTGGGCGTCTGCAAGGTGTCCTGGGACATGATGTGCCTGGAGAGAGCCAGGGCAGGCAGGGAGGGGCTCTGTCCTCTGCTGAGTTCCAGGAAAGGCTCTGGCAGTCAGCACAGGCCTGGACTCCGGAGCTCCTAGGGTGGAGCTGGGGGAGGGACCCCAGGCTGCTCAAGTGCCTCACCTGGGCCTCTAGCCTCAGGCCCACCTGGTGGCATCTCTGAAAACCAAAGTAAGGAGGGGCTCACAGGATCTCCCAGGTAAGGGCCCACTTTCGAGGCAGCCAACCTGCTACCTGGTGCCTGAACTCCACTAGGATGTCCCGGGTCAGTGATTGCTTTTGCGCACCTACAGTGACAAGGGGCACCCTCACAAGGCAGCTTACAAGGATCCTCCTCTCATTAGGCCCGATCACCTACAGACATCTTCTCTCAGGCGGTCTGGAAGGGCTAAAAGTCATCCTCATGTCCTTCATTCCCAATCCCGGGCTTTCAAGTCGATTCAAACTCAGAACCACCCTCTGTGTTACTGAAGCCATACGCCAGGCCTTTCTTCCTCAAAGCCACTGGGTGGGTTCAACTCGCTGAACTTCAGGTTGAGTGCAACTGATTTGCACCCACTGGGGACCCCATCCTTCATAGTCCAAAAACCAAGCCAAGCCCACTGCTGTCTAGCCATTTCTGACAGTAGCGACCCTAGAGGACAGAGGAGAGCTGACGCATTGGCTTTCCAAGGCTGTACTCTTTCTGGAAGCAGACTGCCACTCCTTTCTCCCGTGGGTCAGCGGGTGGGTTCCAACCAGCAACCTTTTGATTCGAAGTGGAGTGCTTTAACCACTGCCCCACCAGCTCCTCACGACGGCCCATCACTATCCTCTATCCTCCAAACTTTTCAAGAAGGTGCATTCCTTTCAAATGACTCTCCTTCACCATCCTTCATCCTCGATCTAACCTGTGGCTAAAGTCTGCAGACTCTTCCCTGGGTTGTTTTCATGACAAGCTGTAGGATGTGGGGGGTTTGTTTGCTTTTCTGCATTTCCCTCTTTTCTTTCCCAAACCTCACAGAGTCTACCTTTGACCTAAATTACCACCGTGACTGCCACACTGCCCTTTCTGACCTCAGTTTCGCCCTCCTCCTACACACCCTGCTGGAACAATCTTTCTCAAACACCTTTTATTACATAGCTTATCACATTCGGACTCCTCTAGCGAGCATCTGGGGTGCGACAGCTGCTACCCTGGGCACTCCTTGGATTCACCCACGGTGTGTCCAGGACAGGGCTTCGTGCCCTGTCACGAGAGTGGGGAATGTGCAAGTGAATGGTCCATTTCGTCAGCTCTCTTCTCATCCATCATGTCCTTTCTTCCGACATGGGCTCCCCATTCACATCAAGCCTGTTGGCTTCTTCATGCTCCCTGGATCCTGGCGTTTGGAGGGGCCATTGTTGTTCGTTTCCACAAACCTCTTTAGAGAGGGGTGGGGAAGGGAGAAGACGACCTCCAATTTGACCTCAGGGGTGTGTGCCACATGCCGCCTAGGAAGACCTTAGATGCAAAGTGGGATGAAGGCACCTGCTTGCTGGGAGCATCAGCTCCGGTCAGAGACAGAAATCGGGCAGAGGTTGGAAGGCAGGGGAGAGCATGGGGGAACCAGCAGCTTTGAGGTTCACAGAGGAATTTTCTCCCTGTGGGGAGATTTCAATCTACCTCACACTGGGCCCTTAGTCTACTGTTCCCAGACTAGTCTCTTCTTTGGCACCTTATCTCCTCACCCACTTCTCCCCTCCCACCAACACCCAGCGTGCCTGACTTTATCACCACTTATGACCCAGCTCAAAATCCACCGGCAGCTTGGAGCTTCTAATGATCAGGACCTCACTCTGGTCATTTGGGAGTCTTCTCTGAGCCTTGTATTATCTGTCTGTCTTTCTTTCATTGTTCAGTTATGTCCTCTCATCTTTTCACCTCCCATCAATTAAAAAACTCTCTCATGACAGGGACTCTCACGCAAAAAACCAAATTCACTGCCTACGAGTCTACTCCAACTCAGTCTGACCCTCTATGGCGGGGTAGAACTGCCCCGGTGGGTCTCAAAACTGCAGGTCTTGCTTGCTGTTAACAGCGCAAAGTGTAACCCACTACATGCCACTAGGGCTCCTTCATGTCAAGGACCATGTATGTCTATTAATCATTTTATATGATCTATTCCTCTCAGTAAGGACGGGGAGTTAGGAATTGGGCAGTCGATCCAAAGCCGCTGGTTGAAGCCCACCATTTCTCCACGGCAGGCAGACTAATATAGGGGATTCTGCCAAGAGGGCTGGGGGCTGAAGCTTGGTTCCAACACTTTAATGTTGGCTTGGGTAAGTTTCAGCCTCTCTGAGCCAGCTGCCTCCTCTGAGGCCGTTTCCTTGCAGCATAAGGAGCAAAGCTGATCATAAAACAGTGCAAAAGGTCAGAAAAAATAGCCTTTGCATCGTGCGTCCACCGTGGTTGTCTTCGTTTCCCCTACCTTGAAGGGATGTTTTCTCACCTGGAGGACAAGCTCTCCATTAACTTCCTACTGTGTTGGTTTTCTGTTTGTTTGTTAGATGCCGCTGAGCCATTTCTGGCCCCTAATGACCCGATGCAGGACAGAACAGAACGAGAGGCTGCCCCGCCCTATGTCATCCTCACAGTTGTTGCAGCCACGGTGTCAATCCATCTCGGGTCCTTCTACTTTATCTGATGTCAAGTGGAGTGTCAAATAGGATGTCCCTCTCCAGGGATTGCTATTTCCTGATAACGTGTGCTCAGTTAGGACATCTTATTTTTTTATTATTTTATTGGGGGCTCGTACAATTCTTATCACAATCCATTGTGTCAAGCACATATGTAAATTCGCTGCCCTCATCATTCTCAAAACATTTGCCTTCTACTCTAGCCCCTAGTATCAGCTGCCCATTTTCCCCCTCCCTCCCC